GGACCAGCAGAGCCCAGCCTGGGTCAGCTAAGTTCCAGCCAACCTATAGTTCATGAAAAAAAAAAAAAAAGATGGTTTTCTGCCTCTTTATTTTGGAGTGATGTGTCCCACAGCCGATAGAATGGGTACTTGGGGTCTCTCGCTGGCTGTGTGTCCTCTTCTCTTCTGGGTTGGGGACCAGGCTTTAGAGTTAAACTCGCAACTCCACATGGGGTTCCACTGCTCCCTCTCTGGGGGTGGTCTTGGTTCTCAGGCAGGGGACAGAAGAACCAAAGCAGGTGGCTATGGAAAGAAGGGGCAATGATGTCCCAAGGTGAACAGGTCCTTGTGGCCCAACCTGGCTGGACTTTGCAACACAGGTCCAGCACAGAAATTCACTGTTTTAAATTTAGTTGAAAAAAAAATTTAAATCCAAGTTATATCTGCACCTGAATTAAAGAAGAAATAGCTGGGCCCAGTGGCTCATGCCTGTAGCCCTAGTGACTCAGGAGGCTGAAGCAGAAGGATCATAAGTTTGAGGCCAGCCTGAGCAATTGAGCAAGTCCCTAAGCAACTTAGTGAGATCCTGTCTCAAAATAAAATTAAAAAGTAATAAATAAATAAAGGACTGGGGATTCAGATCACTGGGAAAGCACCTCTAAGTTCAAGCCTCAGTATCAATCAAACAAATAAAAACAAACAAAAAAACAATCCCCCCAAGCAAAAGAATAAAATAGTTCAGTGTGATTATAAACAACAACAGGCCTCTTTCTGCTTCCAGACACAAGGAACTTTTAAAAATATCTATCTATCTATCTATCTATCTATCTATCAATCATCTATCCTTCTTCTAGAAAGCAGTCTTTCGCCACTGCTTCTTCATCTGAGCCCTTATCTGTTGACTTTCTGCCATGGAAGATGTAGTTCTTGTCACCCTTCCTTCCCCACATACCTTCCCTCTCTCTGACCCCGGCCCTCCCAGCGTCCTTAAGTCATAAGTGGGCGAAATGAATATTCACTTTGTACTTGCTTCTGCAACTTTGAAAATGCTTGTCATGGATGAACTATGAAGAATACTATGTCCTCATTTACTTTCGAGCACAACTTTTCCCTGCATGAGCTTCTGAATGATGCTACAGGCCCCAGGGGCAGAGTGGGGAGGGGTAGGAGAGGCGCAGTGTTTCCAAACTCCTCACCCACTCCCCTCCCCACCCCAGAGAGAGAGAGAGAGACATACAGACAGACACGGAAGGAGGGACACAGGGAGAGAGAGTAAGAAAAAGAAAGAGACAGAGAGACAAAGGGCAGGCTTGGGCCCTCCCAAGTGTGGGGAAGGCCACAGTCAAGCTCCCAGGCCCTTGGTTAGGCCTCATTTGCCAGAGAGGAGCCCCAAGCCATTGGGCCATACCTGTTCCAGCCTCTCCCAGCGGCCTAGGTTCCCGCTGTGCCCCTCAGCCTGGGTCTGGCTTCTGTCATTCGTAACTCCTACTTGGTGGCCTCATTGGGCTCTCCCACTCGCCCCCTCCATTTCCGGGGGCACAGGGGTGGGAAAACAGATGATGCTCAGACTCAGGAGCTGATACAGCTGTGCCATGAAGCTGACCATGGCTCCATTTCTCATTTGCTTGATTTCTCAGCCAGGACGCAGGCAGGGTTCCACGTTGGAGCCTTTCTGAGTGGGGAGTCTGCCCAAAGAGTTTGCGGGACAAGGACAGGGCAAAGATCCTGATAGTGGTGAGTGCCTGGGTGTGGGGAGGTCTGGGCTCTGGGATCCATCGTCCTGGGCACAGCAGAGCTGAGGGGTGCTCAGAGGTGATGAGCGGCCCAGGCCCCTGAGTGGCACGCAGATTGCAGGTGTTCTGAAGGGCCGTGGTGCACGACTTGAAATGACAGGTAGACCTAAGAGAGACAGACGCGGCCATCCACACAGAAACCTGCATGCGGAGGCTCTTATTCCCTGTCACCAAAACTGGGAATAACCCAGATGCCCTTCCATGGAGGGGAAGCAAACAGTGATCCAGCTACACAATGTACAAACTGCTCAGCAAGGAAAAAGGAGATTTCTCTTTTTAAAAATATATGTATTTTAAAATATATACATTTTTATAACTTTATTTTATTCATTTATTTTTTTTCACGTGGTGCTGGAATCGAACTCAGTGCCTCACCTGTGCTAGGCAAGCGCTCTACCACTGAGCTACAACCCCAGCCTCCTTTTATAAAAATATTTTTTAATTGTCAATGGATCTTTATTTTTTAAATTTATATGTAGTGCTGAGAATTGAACCCAGTGCCTCACATATGTTAGGCAAGCACAAGTGGTAGCCCTGAGCCACCACCCCAGCCCCCCAAAAGAGGATTTCTAATGCGGGTAACAACATGGCAGCCAGGCGCGGTGGCACATACCTGTATAATCCCAGTGACTTGGGAGGCTGAGGCAGGAGGATCGCAAATTCAAAGCCAGTCTCAGCAACTTAGTGAGGCCCTAAGTAACTCAGCAAGACCCTGACTCCAAATAAAAAATATAAAGGGCTGGGGGTGTGGCTTAGTGGTTAAGTGCCCTTGGGCTCAATCCCTGGTACCAAAAAACAATGACAAAAACATAGAGAACCCCAAGTGCAGCACGCCACAAGAGAGAAGTGACATGCAGAAGGTTGCACCCCAGAACTGTAACTGTGTGACATCCTGTGGGAAAAGCGCCTGCAGGAAACAAATGGGTCCCTGCCCAGTGCTGAGGTGGGAGGGCTCCCTGCAGGACAGTCGGAGGGGCTTCTGCAGGGACGGAAGTGTTTTCTACTTTGTGACTGTGGTGGCTATAAACTCTTAGCCGGGTGCGTGGTGCAGGCCTGTAATCCCAGCTACACAGGAGGCCGAGGCAGGAGGATTGAAAGTGTAAGGCTGGACTGGGCAACTTAGTGAGGCCCTGTCTCAAAATAAAAAAGAAAAAGAGCTGGGGGGTGTAGCTCAGCGTAGGGCGCTTGTCTAGAATGTGTGAGGCCCTGGGTTCAGTCCCTGGCACTGCGTGCACGCTCTCGTTCTCTCTCTCTCTCTCTCTCTCTCTCTCTCTCTCTCTCTCTCCCTCCCTCCCTCGACTCATACACTAAAAAAAGGCAGATTTTACGGATGTAAGTCATACCTCCATAAACCTGGAAAAATGTCAACTGAAAGTCTAGTTGGCAGGGACACTGTGATAGCAGGGAAATAGTCAGGGTGAGGCGGAGGGGAGAGATGGGTGGAGGGTCCTTGTTCTACAAAAGGACGGTCCTCCCAGTTGGGCAGCCACAAGGGCAAGGGCTGGCTCTTTGTTTTCTTTCGTTTGTTTCTTCAGGGCTGGGGATCAACCCCAGGGCCTGGTGCCTGCTAGGCCAGGGCTTCCTACTGAGCCCCAGCCCCAACCCAAGGCCAGCATTTCTGGTCCATGCTGTAGAGACACCATAAATGCCACAGTGGAGAAGACCCCGAATCATACCATCTTCCCCTGCAAGCCCTCACCCTGTGGCCCTTTCCCCTGACCAGAGGGGGAACAGGGAAGAACATGGGGATGGAATAGAACCTGGTCAGAGACTGGAGAGCCAGCCCAGCTACTGGGCACCTCAGCCTCATCTACAACATGGAGACCCAGACCATGTCTTACGGAGCCCAGTGAGGGACGGACAGGTAACTCTATGAGAACGCTGTGGGTGTTGAGTTCTGAGAATGACTACCAGTGGGCCAGGTTTGAATTCCTGTCACTTTCTACAGGCTGTGTGGCCTTGGGGAAATGCCCTAACCTTTCTGGACCTCAATTTCCTCATTGGTAAAATAAGATTTTATGGTTTCATTAAGTGGTGTTGAAGATTTGATGAAAAATGTCCTTAGCTCTGGGTCTAGCTCACACACACAGTGAGTTCTCAAGAAGAGAGCTCTAGGGCTCTGGTGTTATCATAGGGATGCCAAATCTAGTTACACACACACACCACACCACAGATATATGACTTCCAATTAATTTGAAATTGCAATTGCTGATAGATAGTGAATACTTTCTTTTTTGATAGATAGTGAATACTTTTTTTGTGTGGGGTTTTTTTTGGTACCAGGGATTGAACCCAAGGGCGCTTAACTACTAAGTCACATTCCCAGCCCTTTTTATTATTTTTATTTTGAGACAAATTCTTGCTAAGTTGCTTACAGCCTCCCTAAGTTGCTGAGGCTGGCTTCAAACTTGGCAATTCTCCTGCTCCATCCTCTGGGAGTTTCTGGGATCACAGGTGTGAGCCACCACACCCAGCTAACAATGAATACTTTTTAACACAAGTATGTCCCAGGCAATATTTGGGACATACTCATGCTAAAAAATGATGCATGACACAATCAGACTGGGAAAAGTATTTGCTTATCTGATATTCAGATTTAACTGGATAATCGAATTTTGCCGGGCAGGGGGAGGAGATGGGAGTGATGTAGGAGGGGCTCGGTCAGAAGGTGAGGAGGGTGATTTGAGCCATGTGTTCTTCAGCCCCCCCTGCAGCCGGGTCACCCCCAGCTTCACCAGGAGTCTCACCTCCTCCTCCGGGCAGCCCCCTCTCCTGGGGGCCGGCCCACACTGCCCATGCATTCTGAGGTCTGCTTTTGTTCCTGCCCAAGGCTGCCAGCTGGTGTCATCGTAACTCACTCCTGGGCTGGGGCCGCTGCTCGGGAGTCCTGAAGTCGTTTCTTGTGTGCGACCCAGGGCAGGGAGTCCCGGTGGCGTGGGCCGGTGCTGCGCTCGCGGTGGGTCTTCTGTGCCTGCCTGTGGCTGAGTGGCAGCCCTGCTCTTACATAATCACTTTCTCTCCTCCTTCTTTTTCCAGAGCCGGATCTCACACTGAGCAGCTGCAGTCGGAGGAATCAGAGAAAGCGCCAGAAAGCGCCACCCAGCCCCAGATTCCAAGGGGCCTGCTGGGGACTCTCCTCCCCCTCCTCCTCCTCCTCCTCCTCTCCTCCTCCTCTTCGGGAAGGAAGACCCCGAGGGAGACTGCTATCTCATACCAGCTCCTGGGCTGCCATGGGACTAGCAGCCACCGCCCCCCAGCTGTCCTCCCCACTGCCAGGCAGATAGGGTGGCTGCTGCCCCAGGAGCACCTGCCTGATCCCTGCTGCCTGGCACCTCCTTTGGGGACAGCCCTTTCCTGACTCGGTGGCCACCTTTTCTGACACGTGGCCATGTAGGTCCTGCTCAGGCTCCTGTGGACACACCGCTGGGGACAGCACCTCTGCTCTTGGGGAAGCCAGTGCACCACCATGCCCCGGGGATTCACCTGGCTGCGCTGTGAGTACCCAGGGACCCACTCCGGGAGGCCTTGACCCAGAGAGGGCTCAGCCACAGCCACGGCAACCAGCGCGTCCCTGCTGGGGAGAAGTTGAGATGCTTCCCAGCTTAGCTGCAGGTAGTCTCAGGGACTCCACAGCCACCCTGCCTGTCGCTGACCCCAGGCTCAGGCAGGCAAGCTGGGCGGGAGTCCCAGGTAGGGTGGGCACTGGGTGGCACAGTGAGTGGCTAGACGATGGGGCAGGCGCTGGGGTGGGTGGCAGCATCTCTATGGACTGACTCATGGGTGCTAGGGAACATGGCAGGGGCAGAGGGTGTGGAGAGAGGATGGCTGTCCTCCCTGGGTGTGGCCAGCAGGGGTGGGGTGGGGACCAGGGACCCAAGACAGATGGGACTTGTGTGTCCAGCACCTGGAGAAGGCAGCTTGCCCTCCTCTGCCCCTCACTCTATAACACCAAGATTAAAAGGCAGGCCGATAACGGTGCGGTTGGTAAAAAGAAAAAATAAGTTGAAATGAGGACAGAAGAAAAGGAAGGGCCTGGAGGACGCTCAGGCCTGTGGGTGGAGGCCAGACGGAGCCCTCCAGACCCTAGGCTCAGCGCCACTCACTCTGATTCGGCACATTTCTCTGGTGACGCCCACGAGCCCACTGGAGAGTGACTTGCCATGACAACAGGACCTCATTTGCTTTGTGCCCCTCAGCCTCTGTCACCCAGTTCAGAGTTAGGTGGCCAGGGACTGTGTGCCAAATAAATGGGGGCAGGGGCTGGAGCCCACAGGGGTTCAGAGAAGAGCTGGGTGTACCCTGGTCCTGGCGGAGGGACACTGGAAAGCGTCAGGACATTCAGAATGGGTGAAGGACCCAGCCAGGCCCCAGGTTAGGGAAGCTTCCAGGTCTTGGGGAGCAGAGGAAGCTGCTTGGTGAGGTGCCACTTGAGGTGGTCTTGAAGGCTGGGTGACATCCACAAGGCAGACGGGGTGGTGGGGACCGAGTTCCAGGCAGTAGCTCAGTGGAGGGGCTGGAGAGTCTGGGCCGCAAAGCTGGTTTGGGCCTAGGTGGCCTTGGCCTTGAAAGCCAGGTGAAGAGCACCCACTTCACCAAACCACACGGAGCCTTGGAAGGTGGCAGAGGGGGTCACGGTTGGAGTCCCCTGCTTTTGAGGAATCTGGAGTCACTGTTGCAACCTTATGGGGAGCAGGTAGCGACTGTAGATCTCGGGCGTGGTGGGGGCTGGTGGGTGGTGACGACGGGGGGAGGGCAGAGGCAGGGGCAGGGGGAGCGGCTGCCCAGTGGAGGGGCTGGGATGCTGGGATGCTGGGCAGCTGTGATGTGACCACAAACTGGGCAGCAGCAAGTGTTACTTTCTCACAATTCTGGAGACCAGAATCCGAAGTAAGGATGTCAGCAGGGCCATGCTACCTCTGAGGACTCAGGGAGGAGCCTTCCCGCCTCTTCTGGCTTCTGGGGGCCCCTGGGGCTCCCTCTCTGTGGCAGCTTCACTCCAGTTCATCTCTGTCTGCACGTGGACTTTCCCTCTGGGTGTGTCCGTGTCCTCTCCTTCTGACCAGGACACCAGGGGCCTTCCCTAAATCCAGGATGAGTTCTAAAGATGCTGTTTCCAAATAAGGTTACATTCTGAGGTTCCAGGTGAATATGAATTTTGGGGGGAATGCTACTCAACCCATTGCCTAGGCTCAGATTGGGTCAGGGACCCCTACTCCCCTGCCACCTCCCAGGCCAGGGAGCCAGGAGAAAGCTCCTTCTACCCATCTCCTTCAGCTTCTGCTTATCTCCCTGGTCCTTACCTCTGGGGGGAGGAGGAGGCAGAAGGGCCTCTTGACCAGGGTCAGGCCTACCCTGGCTGTGTGGTTCCTGGGGCACAAAGTGTGGGGGTGACAAGTGATCTTGAGGTTTTGGCTGTGCCAACCCTGCTTGGTTTCCTGTTTCTCTGGGTGGAGGCAACAGAAAATAAATTTAAAATGAGAAATGGGGCCCCCTGAAGACTAAGGAGAAGCTGCCCAGGCTGCAGGGAGGTGGTCCACGGATAGGTTTCCAGGGTGGCCCATGTGCCCGACTGTGCCAGGCTGAGCTGCTGTGGCCCTCTGAGACCCAGTCCCTGCTTTGAGGCCACTGTTAGCAGAGCCAGAAGGCTCCAGGGCAGGACCTGGGAATGGAGTGGACTCCCCATAGTGACAGCCACATGGGAAAGAAGAAGCAGTGTAGACAGAAACACTATTTTGGTACTGGGATTTGAGCCCAGGGACGCTTAACCACTGAGCCACATCCCTCGCACTTTTTTTTTTTTTTTTTTAATTTTGAGATAGGGTCTTCCTAAGTTGCTTAGGACCTCACTAAGTTGCCCAGACTGGCCTTGAACTTGAGATCCTCCTGCTACAGCCTCCTGAGCTGCTGGGATCTCAGGTAGATGCCACTATGTCAGGCTAGAAACACTAATTTCTTTCTTTCTTATTGCGATACTGGTACCTCCAGCCTTTTTTATTTTTATTTTGGAACAGGGTCTCACTAAGTTTTCCAGGCTGGCCTCAAACTTGCAATCCTCTTGCCTCAGCCTCCTGAGTGACTGGGATTACAAAAGTGTGCCACTCTACCCTGCAGAAACACTGTTTTTTAAAGGAAAGGTGGCAATACGGATTTTAACGGGCAATCCCTGTGGGCTAGATGTGGTCCTTGGGCCACCACCCTGTACCTGTTGCTCTAGGTCCATGGTTCTTAAGGTGCATGCCCAGATCAAAGGCCGAAGCCTCACCTGAGGGCTGGTTACAAGGGCAAATTCTCTGGCCCCACCCCAGGCCTGCTGGATTGGGGCGGAGGCTGCTGAGCTCTCCTTGCCTTGGCTGGCTCCCCAGGGGATTCAGATGCACCCTCCCATTTCCACTGCAGGAGACCAATCCCCAAACTTAGGCATAAGGCTCTCAGTCAACAAGACCACAGCACTGGTGATTCACATACCAAGGGTGAAGTGCTGTGGTCAGGGAGTGAGTGAATCAGGCAGGTGGTGCTGGAGTCAGAGGCTGGTGGGGCTGGTATAGGCAGGGCAGACCCTAGGGTGGGGTAAGAAGCCCAGGGAGACTTTTAAAGAGATCTGCAGTGTGAGGGGATCTCTAGAGCAAGGCAGAGCAGGAGCAAAAACTGGGACACAAGATCTTGACCTTCAGGAGTCAGTGCAAGGCTGAGAGGCTTTTAGGACTTAAGAGACAAGACACAAAGCAAGCTGCTATCTAAAGGCATGAACACTGGCTAGGTTTGTATTTAGCTCTTGCTTTGGCCCAATACCATGTCAGGGAGATGGAAGAGAGCAAGCACGCTGGTTGGATTACTTCACACTGGCAACTTTTCCTGGAGGGGAAGGGGAGGCAACTGCAGCTCCTATGTGGCCCAGGCCATAAGCAGGCCTGAGGAGCCAAGCCGAGGGAAGGTGCCCTTGGTGAGGGGTCCAACAAGAGCAAAGTCCTGGAGCAGGACCCAGCAGGGTGGGACTGGAAAGGGAGGAGGGAGAAGTGATCCAACAGGTAGAGTGGCCCAGGCCAGTGGGGATGTAAGGACAAAAGTCTTCCAAGTACCAGGAAGTAAGTGAGTGGGGAAAGTCCAATCAGTAATTCCTACTCATAACAGGTGGGTCAGGGCAGTGACTCAGCCTGGCTATCTTCACAGTGGGGAGCGCAGGAGGAGAGGGAGAAATTTTTGCTTCTGATTCTAATAATAATAGATATGGATTGTAGAACATGCAAAATGTTCCACAAAATATATAGAACACAAAAATCTCCCATAGAGATTTGGTACATTTCTTTCCACCACGTTTTCCAAACACATATGTAAACAATTGTAAACACACGTATAAATAAAATTCAAGTCCTGCTGGGAATGCAGATAGCGTTGGGTCATGTTTTTCAAAAACATCACCATCCATATCTTATTTTTCTCATCACACATCATAATAATTCCTTAACAATGTGATTTTTACTGGAAACATTCATTATGATGGAATGTCCTGGTCGTTTACAGATTTTCACTATTATAAAATAATACTGCAGTCCATAAATCTTTTTGGTCTATGTCTCTTTTTCTTGTTTTAGTTCTTCTGATTTTTGAGTTTAGTGGGTCAAAGGGTGTGGACTTTATTGAATTCATTAATAATAACATTTGCCAAATTGCTTTCAGGATGAGAGCACCTTCTTCACTACTTTGGCAGCATCAAATATTATTAAAAGAAAATCAATACACAGAAATCTTTTTGTTTCGTTTCTTTTTCTTTTTCTTTTTTTTTGTGATGCTGGGAACCAACCCAAGGCTTCAGACTTACCTACTGAGCTACACCCCCATCCCTTATGTATTTATTATTTTGAGACAGGGTCTGGTTAATTTGTCAAGGCTGGCCTCAAACTTATAATCTTCCTGCCTCAGCCTCCCAAGTCACTAGGATTGTCATAGGTGTGTGTTACCATTCATTTTTCTATTTTGATGGATGAAAAATGGCATCTAATTTTTTTTTGTACTGGGGATTGAACCCAGGGGAGCTTAAACACTGAGCCACATCCCCAACCCTTTTAATATTTTATTTAGAGACATGTTCTCACTAATTTCCTTAGGGCCTCCCTAAGTTGCTGAGGCTGGCTTTGAATTTGTGATCCTCCTGCCTCAGCCCCCCAGGCCACTGGCATTACAGGTGTGTGCCACCGTAATCTAATTGTTTATTTTATTTGTGAGGTTGAACTTTTGGATACATCTTGCCCTTTTATGTTCTTTTTTCTTTTTGCTCTAATTACCCTCCTATTTATTGCAAATTCTCTCAGGTATTGGGTCTGTTCAGTTAGGTAGAAATCACAAAGGCTATTATTTTTGAGGTTGCAGTGTCCCCTAGTGGTAAAGGCTGGTAATGTTGGTAAATCATTGTAGCTAACAGCCTGAGTGAGATCCCAGAGTCACCAAAATGGAAGACGCCAGAGACCACTGGTACATTTAATGATGAGGGATGCCAAGGTCAGATAGAGGAGGGGGAAAAGTAGCTTGGGTCACGTGATTTTTAGAGTTGGAACTGGAATCCACATCTGAATGGAAATCCAGCGATGGGTTTTGAAAACGTGTCACTCCTACACAAGGGGCTGAGGTTGCCCTCTAAGGAAGTTTAGGCTTACCCCATGGGGCAGGAGTTGGGGACTGGCCTTAATTAAGTGCCTCCTGGGGGGTCTGCTGGCCAGGGTTGGGGTGGAGGTGGATCACCTTCTGGACTGCTTGCACCTACCTGTCCTTGCTCTTCTGAGGTCCAGACCCAGGGAAACCATGCGGGTTCTGGGTGGGAAGTCCTCCTCAGGTGACAGGGTCTGTGCACCTGTCACCACCACCTCTTGGATGACAGTTGTGCACATCTGGACCCTGGGGACAGTGTGGATGTGGTACCTGGCGCTGACGTGCTCTTGTTGGCTGTGGTCCACAGATCTTGGGATCCTCCTTGGTGTGGCCTTGGGGAATGAGGGTTTGGAGGTGTGGCCCTTGACCCAGAATAAGGAGTGCACCGTCACGGGCTTCCTTCGGGACAAGCTGCAGTACAGGAACCGGCTTCAGTACATGGTAACCACAGGGGCACCACCAGCACCCCTGTCCCCAGCCCCATGGCGCACCTGGCACAGGGCTCTGGATAGTCAGGGACCCTCCTAGGACCTGAGGCAGCCCCAGAGTTGTCATGGCTCCCTTCTCTAATACACAACCAACGTGTCTGGGGTCTTTGCCCGCCTCCTCCTGCCATCTCCCAGGGCTTCCCCCCCTCCTGACCTTTGATTCCCCCTCCACAGGGCATTTCCCCTGGGACTCAGGAATGGAATCCGGGAGGGGGAACCCCCCCTCCCAGCACTTATTAGCAGGGGAGACAAAGACTTGCCAATTGGGATGTTTGGTTCTTTTGGGGGAGTGGAGATGCCCACTCTGTTTTTAAAAAGAGCTTATGAAGGCAATGTTGACATGCCCTACCATTCACTCATTTAGAGGGTATAACTCCCTTGGTTTTTAGTGTGTTCACAGAGTTGGGCGACCACCACCACAGCAAGTTGTAGAACATCCCTCTCACCCCGAAAATACATGTCTTTCTTGAAGTAGGAGGTCCTTACATTGAGCCCAGAACTTCTGCTTGAGCAGGAACTATGTATTTAGTTTCACTCTCCCTGCGTCCCAGAGGAAAGTGAGCTGGTGTTAGTGCTGTTGGGAGCAGGGATGTGTCCTCTTCAGAGGACTCCTGTGACGGCAGGGGGCCCTCTGGTGCGGGCCTCCCCGGCGCTGGCATGCACCTGGGCTGGGGCAGCCTGTCTGTGCAGTTTCTGCCTCTGACCTCCTGGTTCGTCCCTCTCCAGAAACACTACTTCCCCATCAACTACAGGATCGGCGTGCCTTACGAGGGGGTGCTCAGGATCGCCAACATCACCAGGCTGGTGAGGATCCCTTCCTGGGCTGCGGAGACCCCCATCTCCTGCGATCCCCTGTGGACCCCAGCCTGAGAGGCACTTTGGTCTTGGCAGGTCCAGGGGCCTTTCATCAGTCCCTCAAGTGAGCCCACCCTTGACCCAGGCCCGAGGTTGCCCGATGTCCACTGTAGACCCCTGTGGTCAGTTTCATGCAGGGACAAGTCCTTGGAAAAGGGTCACAGTGGAGCAGCCCACAATGGGGGGTTCCAGAGTTTTCTCCTGTCCCTGCAGCAGAAGGCGCGGGTGAGCGAGCAGGAGCAGAGGTATCTGTGGGTCTTGGTGAGTCTCAGTGCCACTGAGTCGGTGCAGGACGTGCTGCTTGAGGGCCACCCGTCCTGGAAGTACATGCAGGAGGTTCAGACGCTGCTGCTCAACATCAAACAGGGCCTCCCGGTGAGCTGGGCCTGCATGTGTGAGCGTGTATGTCCGAGAGGTGGGGTCAAGGGCTGTGGAGCCAGGGGAAAGTTCCGGCACATTGAGGAGTGGGGTGTGGGAGGGATGGGGGAGGCATAGAGGAAAAGAAGTTCGAGGAAGGAAGAGGTGTGGAGACCCTGTTCCAGGCCCTGCTTCTCTTGCTGTGGATCCCGGACAGGCCATGGGATTCTCTATCTCTGAGTCTGAGAAATGAGGCTTTTTTGGGAGTGTAGGGAGGAAGAAAAGGTGGAGTGCAGGAGATTTTTAGGGTGAAGAAACTGTTCTGGGTAATTCACTGCTGGTGGGTGTGTGACATCACGCATTTGTCAACCCACAGAACTGTGCCACGCAGAACGGGAGTCCTAATGGGCCACGATTTGAGTTAATTAAGAAAATTAATTTTAAAAAAAAGAGACTCCTTCTGGCTCGGCAGGGTTGAGGCCTCAGGGGGATGTCCTCTATAATGCATGAGCCATCTGAAAGAGGGAGGCCAGGGGATCATCATGGAGCCACACAGGCCGTGCGTGTGCCTGGGATCCCTCAGGCCCCAGAGCACACCTGCCCCTAAGGATGCACCTGCCATCCCACTCAGCCAGCTGCCTGGTCTCATCTGCCCAGGAGGCCCCGTCCAGGGCCAGAACATCCCACACCAACTGTGAGCTTCCGACGATGAAAGGGCTAGGGACCAGCCATTGTTTTTGCAGCTGTCTGGAACCGGTCCTGGGACAGGGCTGGAAGGAGGTCAGGAGGTCCAGCGATTTCCTTGGTGGCTGTTTTGTGCCCATGGGCCAGATGGATGTCCTTGGGCAAGATGAGCTGACCTGGGGAAGAGACCCCTCCTGCCCTCATTTTTCCTGGGAAGCATTTCTGATTGGAGGCTGATGGACCCTCAGCCCCGCCCACCTTCCTTGGCCTCTCCTGATTAAAATCCACCCATCCCTGCAGCCAGATTCTCAGTCTCTCTTTTCTCCAACTCTGCTGGTTGGCTAGGACCTTGCCTTTAAGATGGAATTAGGGAAAACCACCTTCCAGATTTTCTTAGCTTTTAAAACTCCCAGTGGTCCTGTAGTTTGGAGATCCCATCTGGGGATGGGCCACCAGCAGCCTTGAACAGGTTGTTCACCTCTGGACTTTAGATTCATCACTTGGAAAGAAGAGGGATTGGGAGGAACCTGAAATTGTATCTGGCTGTAAAGCTGTTATGCTTTTTCCACCCTTTCTCCTTGTCGATACCTCGGGACTGGTTTTTACATTTTTTTTTTTTTTTTTTTTTTTTTTGGACCTGGGGATTGAACCCAGGAGCACTCAACCACTGAGCCACACCCCCAGCCCTTTTTCATATTTTATTTAGAGACAGGGTCTCACTGAGTTGCTTAGTGCGTCGCTAAATTGCTGAGGCTGGCTTTGAACTCACAATCCTCCTGCCTCAGCTTCTGAAGCTGCTGGGATTTCAGGCATGGCCTACCCCCACCCCCGGCTCTGAATTGTTTCTGTCCTACTTTCTCCCCGCACCCCAGTACTGGGATTGAATCTGGGGGCACTTTACCACTAAGCCACATTCCCAGCCCATTTTATTATTTTTTTTTAATTTTGAGACAGTTTCTCACTAGTTTGCTGAGGGTCTCCCTAAATTGCTGAGACTGGGCTTTGAACTTCAGATCCTTCTGCCTCAGCCTCCCAAATTGCTGGGACTACAGGCATGTGTCACCACAGCTGGCTGCATAATGTTTTCAAAGTCCATCCATGTCATAGCAGACCCTTCCTTTTCATGGCTGAATGATATCCCATTTTGTGCAGATATTATATCTGTGCCTCCATTTGTCTTGGGCTGTTTCTACCTTTTGGCTCTTATGAATAATGCTTCTGTGAACATGGGTGTACAACATGGGTCTGAGTCCTTGTTTTCAATTCTTTGGGGTTTACACCTGGGAGTCAACTTGTGTCTCTAGGTGTAGCTTTTTGAAGACCTTCTGGACTCTTTTCCTATAAGAGGCTTTAGGAAGGTGACATCTGTCCAGCTGTCCTCAACTTTGAGCTTCTCTAGATGGCCCAGTGGCTCCCGGGGCTCTGTACTCTCACCAGGGCAAGGGGATACATCTACTAGGTGGCTGGGTTCTCCCCAGATTCATTCTCACCCCACCTCTGTATATCAGTTTTCCAGGACTGCTGTAACAAATTAGTACAAAACGAATGCCTTAAAACAGAAATTTATTCTTTCATAGTTCTGGAGGCCGGAAGTCCCAGATCAAGGTGTCGGCAGGGCGACACTCCCTCTGAAGGCTCTAGGGAGGGTCTTCTCTTGCTTCCAGCCACATTACCCAACCTCTGTCTCAGTCTTCGGTGGCCTCTGCCATGTGATCACCTGTCTCTGTGATCTTTCTCTCATGTGGACACCTGTCACTGGATCTAGAGCCCTCCCCAAATCTGGGATGATGTCCTTCTTCCAGATCCTCAATTATATCCCCATTTAGAAAGAGTCACAGTCACAGATACTGAGGGAAGGACTGGGATATGGGGTGCTGGGAGACATAATGCAGTTCAGAGTTTTTGCGTGGGCCGCTGCTGCCCCCAGCTCAGGCCCCACATTTTCCTAGATGCCTCCACAACGGCTGTGGTCCCTCTTCAGGGACTTCGGCTACCCATCATGTTGCCTGCGTGTTCCCTTTTGTTAAGCCTCATGAAGGCAAGCTGAGTTTGGAGTCTGACACCCGGCCCTGTCTATGACTTTCACCTCCGTGTCTCCCGTGAGGGCTTTCTCTTGTTCTTACAGTTGATGGAGGGCAGCTTTCCCAGCTTGGGGGCGGGCAGCCAGGCATGGTCTAGAACAGCGGCTTCCTTCCTCCCTGTCCTGGCCTGGGCCCTGTGTTCGTTTTTCCCATGATGGAGAAACAGGAGCCTCTGTGTTGTGCTTGTATAGAGGTGAGAGCTGGGACCCTCTCTGTATTTGCGGGAAGAAGGTGAGACATAACGCACAGGTTCCTGGTCCCAGAAAGTCTTGCCTGCCTTTCGTGACTTGGGGTGGCACCAAGTCAGGTAGCCCCCACGGTTCTCTTGTTCAGTGTGTCCCCATCTGTCATGGTTCTGACCGGTTCCTCCCTCCAGGATGTGGAGATCAGCCCCAAGGTGGAAGAGGTGTTGTCCCTCCTGAATGTGCCGGGTCGGAGCCTGAAGCTGGTGCGGCCCAAAGCCCTGATGGACAACTGCTTCCGGGTCATGGAGCTGCTGTACTGCTCTTGCTGTAAGGAGCTCCCTGTGCGTGAGGCTGAGGGACGAGAGGCCAAGCATCTGCGCTGGGGTCAGCAGGAAGAGTTGGCACACTCCCGGGCATGCCCTGTGCTCCAAGTGATAGTTCACTTTTGGAAACCCAGATGGGCCCTTAGCTTGAGGGGAGGGAGGTCTTGATGTGTCCTGCAATTTCCCTCTTTTTCTTTTCTGTCCCTTACAGGTAAACACAGCTCCATCCTGAAATGGCAGGAGTGCGAGGTGCCAAGTCCTCAGCCCCATGCCTTGCAGTGTGAGGCCGCCCAGCTGTACCCCCCTCCCCAGCAGACCCCCACCTCCCTGTCCCACTCCCCTGGCTCAAGCACTGGACCCCAGGTCAGGGCCCAGGGCGAGGGCCCCTTGCCCTGATCGGCCTGTGTGCTGACCCTGGGTGGGGACACCTGAGGACTTCCGGGAGCTGGACTAGGCCCGAGACTTTGCTGTGTGATGGGGGTCCCCGCCTTGAGAGAGGCCCTGGGGGAAGGTGTTTTTCCCTCTGGGGGATTCTGTGCCACCGTTGGGCTCAGCTTCCCACCTTTCATACCTTACTTGCTCTCACTTGGAGGGCTGGGGGTCAGGGAGACCTGGTGCCATCCTCGTGGCCTCCCCTGCCTGCAGGTGGTGCTGCAGTCTCCTGGGGCCACAGCAGCCAGCGCATCCCTGGGCAGGGACGGGGCCCACGTGGGACTCTGGGACTCACGCAGAGGCTTTCCAACTGGACTGATGGGGAGGGCTGTCCAAGGGCAGAGCCACATGCCACATCTTGCCACAGTGGATGCTCTTCCAGATCCTTTTTTTTTCTATTAAATGCCCATTTTGTTTGGTTTTGTTGGGTTTTGTTTTCATCTGGGAGAGTGAGCCTGAGGGGCTGGGGGCCGGCCTAGTGCAGGAGGTGGAGGAGGGCTGGGCCAACCAGGCTCCGGGGGAGGGCTGCATCTGGAGTGGGCGAAGCCTTACCCGGGGACAGCTGAGGACGGACTTCCTTCCAGCCCTTTCCTAGCCTGTGGCGCCTTGGTGGCCCTGAGGAGTGTCTGCTGGGGTGTTTGGGTCCCTTGGCAGTGACCCTGGCCATCTTTCCTTCTTCCTTCCCTTGGGCTGCTCCCAGCAGGGGCAGAATGAGGCCCCTCCAAGATCCCAGGCCAGGTTCAAGCCTCAGCCATTCCTGCCCCTGCCTCAGGGAGACCCACGTGGCTCGCAGCCCCTGGGGCCTGGGGTGACCTAGGTCAGGGTGCAGGGGCAGGAGGGGAAGGCAGGTGAGCCGCTGCAGCCCAGGGAACCCAGGCAGAGGCAGGGGTGTTAATTACAGTACGACTTTATTAATACTGGATCCTCACAGTGCATTTGTTACTTGTAGCAGTGACTATTTAAATCAAGGGGCGGATGGAGTGGAGGGGGCAGGAGGAGAGGAGGATTTATCCAAAAGCCAACGGAAAGAAAAGGAACGAGACGGTTCAGGGGGGATGAAGGGGTGGCGAGGGGTGTGTGTGGGGGAAGGGTGAACAGGAACGGGGTGGGGGGGCCTTGGGGAGGGAAAATAAATTAAAAAAAGGAACAAGTTAACAGCACCAGAAAAGTTACTGCAGTCAAAAGACGCTTTTGAAAAGAACAGTTCTCTGTACAAAATGAAAAATAAACAAACGTAAAGAAGCCCCCCCCCAAACCAAAGTTTATGACGCGGGATTGTTGGCTCGGATCCCGGAAGGGGGGCGCTATGAGGTGGTCGCTAAATGACGAGGGAAGCAGGGGGTGGTCAGGGAACAGACGAGGGGACGGAGTATGTACAGCCCTGGGGGCTCAGGGGAGGGGAGGCAGTGGCCCCCACCTTCTCCTGGGAAGCCCCAGCCCCCACCGCCCATCAGGGCCTGTGGAGCCCCCAGGAGGCGGTGAGCTCTTCCTCCGGGGACCCCTGTGACCAGCCACACTCCTGGCGCAGAGGCCATGCCTGCCCTCCTGCTGCTCCTGACTGTCCCCTCACACATGCTGCTTCCCACCCCATCAGGTCACCTGGGCAAACCCGACGCAGCCCTGAGCGGGGAAGGTGCAGCAGAAATTCCACCCCAGGGACCCCAAACTCATCACCTGCTCTCTAGGTTCCCACGGCTGGGAGCTCGGTGGGTCATGGGCTCCACCAGGCAGTTCTCAGATCTAGGGACCTGCAGGGACCCTTCTCCAGCAGTCCCCAGGGAGCCCAGCGGGACTCACTCACACGGGGTCAACCCTGCTGAGACCCCAGTTCACGGCCCAAGAACTCCTCAAGCCTGGACCAGCCCCAACACCATTCCATCCACACCAAGGCAAAGTGCTCTCCTGACGCCCAGCGAGGTGCCCCCCTTGGGGCTCTGCTGCTCTCTTTACCACCCACAGTCCACCCTGATTCCCTCCACTCGCCCTAGGCTCACGTGCTTTTACCCGCTCAGACTTGGCCTCACAGAGGAGGGTGCCCCACTCCTCTGCCCAGCCCTGCTGCCAGCCCAGGCCCAGGCCCGCACAGGGCCACCCTGGGATGGCATCTCCGCTGGCAACAGAGAGTCACAGCCCATCACCCTGCACCTGCTCCCCCACCCCAGGCCTGTAGCTCCCTCAAACCCCAGCAGACAGGCCCAGAGACACCCTGGCCCTGCCCTCTCCAGGCTCATTTTGGCTACACTGGAGGCGCTGGAGAGAACAGCTTCCCCCGGCTTCAGGGGAGTTGATTCTGCCCTTCTCCTGCCATAGGCCCATCAGGCCACCCTGTGACCTCCCCCTCTCAGGCACTCGAAGACACACACCCTGTACCACCAGCTCGCCCCCCACACAGTCCTTGTCTGGGGTCAGCTCCAATTTATTATATTTATAAAATAACCCTCCATACCGTCTACTGCTCCAGCCCCCGACCCCAAAGGAGGCTGCAACTGTGACCCCAAAGTGCCACTAGTTAAAAGTCTTGATGTGCCAGATGAGAACGGGGTATCTGAGGCAGCTCCTGTGTGGCTGGCCAGGCAACCCCCAGGACCTCTGCCTTCCTTTTCCTGCTGCCCTACTGGGTCCCCTTCGCCTTCCACATGCAGGCCCACTCCATGTCCTTCCACCCCGTGACTCCACTTGGACTCCCTTCCCCATGGGTTGGCCTGGTCTCCAAACTCCAACCTGCTCCCCTAATTCTAGCCACAAATTAAGATACCCCAGCTGACTGGACACTGGCCCCTCCACAGCCACCCTGCCACCCAGGTGGAGAGGGACCTGGAAGAGGCAGAGGTAGAGGGGAGAGGTGTAGGGGGCTCATGAAGGGACAGGAAGGGCCGGCATTCAAGAGTGAGCCAGGGCACCGTGACTCTGGGGAGCAGCTCTGGACCCCAGGCCAGGTGGGCCAGGGTTGGCACGAGGCAGGCTGGGCTCTGGGGGTTTGGAAAAGGCAGGGCCTGAGAGGAGGGACAGAGTGGGCAAGGGAAGTAGAAAACAGGCTCCAAAACCAGTTCGAGGCCTGCAGGCTCCACCTGTCCTGCGAGGTTGGTTAAAGAAGTCACATCCCGTTAAACGCTGTGGTCCAGCCTGGGTGTCTCTTCCATAAAGTGGCTTTGCTTTGTCCCTGGCGCTGTTCTTTCTCCTGACTGTGCCTGTGCTGAGTGGCTGCTGCTCACAGACCAGGCCACCTGCTTGTGCTGGGGCCAGACAGGGTGGGGAGGGTGGCGCCATCATAAGATGCGGGGCGCAGACCTGTCATTGGTGACGGTCCTGCGGAGCCGGACCCCGCGTCGAATGGCCACCAGCATGTCTTCGGCTGGGGGGTCGCTGGTGGCAGCAGGGGGTGGGGTAGGCGTCTCCTCTGCTGGGGTGGCAGACAGGCCGGTGGGGAAGGGGAACTGGCCCTCGCCCAGGGCGTGGGCACCTGCCACCAGCTCCCCGAGCTTCTCCACCAGGCTGTGCCTGTTGGCGGCCAGCTGCTGCTCCTCGTCATCCTCAGCCGCCAGCCCGGCCCCCGCTGTGGAGTAGCTGGCCACCTCCGGCGACGGGCTGCCCCAGGCTGTGTTGGGCAGGCTGAGCCTCTTCGGGGAGGCCTTGGCGAGGTCCGGTGCCAGGGGCGAGGCGGCCTCATCCGTGTAGAAGACACACTCCTCGCTGCCTGCCCGCGTGGGTCCCACGTAGCCAGGGGAGTCGGGTACCGTGGGTGTCTTCACAGGGACGATGGGTGGCCGGATGGGGATGGGGCCGGCGCTAGACAGAGCACGGCGTACAGTGGGCTTGGTGGAGGGTGTGCGGCGGATGGTGGCCACGCCGGGTGGGGCGCCGGAGGGCAGGCCCGTGGCTGTGGGCAGCCCGGCGGTGGGCAGCCCCGCGGTGGAGGCTGGGCGCTTGGTCTGGATCAGGCGGCGGTAGTTCTGGGCGATGTTGCTGTTGCGCGGGATGGTGGACGACTTGTCAAACTCAGGGGGGCCCTCGCTGTCCGCGTCCCCATTCACAGAGTAGCAGTCATAGTCGGAGCCTGGGGACACAAGATGCAGTGAGCCTAGGGTCCAGGTGTCCCCTGAGCCCCAGCCCACCCAGGATGGACACGGAGAGGGAAGAAAACGGGGCCCTCGTGTGCGGCCCAATCCCAGCTGTCCCTGTGGGGTGGGGCCACAGGCTGTGAAGGCCTGACACACACTTTCGGCCAGGGATGGCCTCCTGCAGACCCACCGTGGGAGGGGATGGTGTCCTCGGAGCACGAGGGCGTGGTGGTCTGCGTGCTGTAGCCGCTCGAGTACTGCAGCGAGTCCCTGCTGCTCTTCTGGTGCTCCAGGCTCAGGCCGCGGGTCAGCACCATGGCCAGGTCGCTGGCCGCAGGGGACACCTCCTCGCCATGCTGGGGGAGGTGAAATTGCAGATGGAAGTCTCTCTTCCTTTCTACCCTCTGCCTGGACTCCAGGCAGCCCCACTGAGGCGGCTGAAGCTGGCCCTGGAGACCCCCTGCTGGGCCGCCTGGGGAGCTGCCCGCCTACCTTGGCTGCGATGGTGGCAGGGGACATCCGAGGTCGTGGCACCTCTTCTCCACTGGGGCCCAGGGTGCCTCCACTAGCGGGGCCTGGCTCATTGTCTCGGAGAAGCTCCACTCGGTCCTTCCTCCGCTGCAGCGTGGCGCCTGAGGGCTGCTCGTGGGGGCCAGCCTTGGTCCAGTCCTGCAGGGTGTGGCAGGCAGGTCAGGGGGACTCATGGCCTTGCTGCCCACAGCCAATGGGGCCCTTCACTGGGGTTGAGGCTCAAGTTGTCCAGATCTGTGAGGGGCCCTCAGCGCAATGGCCCAGGCCAGAGCCTGGAGGGTGGGTATGGCTGCTGTCCCACCAGGCCCAGGGGCAGAGCAGGGAGCCCCAGGAGGGAGAGATGTGGCTGTGAAGGGAGTGGCTGGGGGGTCCTCTGGCTGAACCTGGGCCTCTCTGGGTTGCTGGCCCCATGTTGGGAGGGCACAGCTTGAACAGCTGGTGATTTTCCTGGGACGGGGCTGGGGGCACTGACCGAGGTGGGGGAGCTGCACTCGCTAACAGACTGGCATGTTTCCGAGGCCTCGGAGGACGCGGAGCTGGAGGACTTCTGCCATGCAGCGAGTGGGTGGTTGCAGACAGGGGCCGGCAGCAGACAGGGCGGGAGGCAGAGCAAGAGGAGAGAACAGTTCTGATTACAGTGCCGCATGCAGGGGCGGTTTGATTCAGCACCTCACCCCATGTCCCTCTAGGGTCACGGCCACCAAGAGCACCTGCAGCAGAAGGTGGTGACCCAGGCACACACCACGGGGACTGAGCCACCAAGAGCCCAGCCCAAGAACCCACTCTTTGAGGATTCACCAGAGGACCTGCTGCCTTACACGGTTCTCTCAGGGGATGCCAGCAGGGCAAGGGGCATATGGAGTCCAAAGTGTCATCCTGCACATGCGAAGCCGGGTGCCCATTAGGTCTCGAAACCCAGATGCAATGTTGGCAAGTGTATTTACAAGCCTGGATTAAGAGTCAGGGCTGGAGTCACACATCCAGCTGTCTCAGGGCAGGAGGTGGCCATCCAAGCTGGGGGCACAGTTAGAGGCCCGAGGCTGGGACCATGCCCTCAGGGGTGCAGACATTTAGTGATTGGAAAGAGGAGGACAGTCCAACAAAGGAGATTGGGCCAGGAGCTGCCAGAAGTGGGAGGAGCCTTGGAAGACAGAGGACCTGCTCTGAAGGGGGAGGGGAACGGCTGTGCTAGAGGGAAAGTAACTCCTGCCCTATCAGGCAGGAGGGGACCTTGGGCGTGAATGGGAAATGCTTGCGGGCATTAGAATAGATGAGGTACCCCTGAGGCTCTCCCTAAAGGAAAGCGAAACAAGGGGTAGAAACAGGACCCTCAGCATAGGTGATGGGTTCCTGGGGCAGATGCTGACTTTGGCACTGCAGTCAAAGGTGAAGCCAAGTGAAGTGCTCGTGACAAGCAAAATTCAAGATGAGCAAACCAAGCCAGGGCAGCTGGGAGGGACCCCCGTCCCTGCCACAATCCCCACATCAACCTCAGTTTAGATTCCCAGGTTTCCTAAAGACTCTGATGAGCCAAGATCACTAAAACAAAGGAGAACAAAGCAACCAAAAGGGAGGACTCAGAGGAAGTAACACACTCAGACTTTCAGCAATGACTGTTAAATATATTAAATAAAAGACTCAATGCAGAAGTATTTGGCAGAGTCACTGAAAAAATTCAACACCCATTGGTGAAAAAAATGACAACAAAGAATAGAAAGAAACCTAATCTGATAGAGAATATCCACAAAAATATTGATATTTTTCCCTCTAAGGTTGGGAAAAAGACAAGGATACCCACTATCAGCACTGGAAGTCTTAGCCAGTGCAATAAAACAAGAAAAGGAAAATAAGGAAGAAATAAGATGATCATGGTTTGCAATGACATGATAACAAAGAATCTATATCAGAAACTATAAATTGTTGGAATCAATAAGCAATTTACACAAGTTTACTGGCCAGCCGCAGTGGCACATGCCTGTAATCCCAGTGACTTGGGAGGCTGAGGCAGGAGGATGGCAAGTTCAAAGCCAGCCTCAGCAACTTAGTGAGGTCCTGTCTCAAAATAAAATATTAAGAGGGCTAGGAGTGTGGCTTAGTGGTTAAGTGCCCTGGGTTCAATCTCTACTGCCAAAATAAATAAATAGAGATAGAGAGATATAGAGATAGATAGATAAATAGAGAGAGAGAGAGAGAGAGAGAGAGAGAGAGAGAGAGAGAGAGAGAGGTTTCTTCTTAGCAAAAGAAATATAGCACTAATCTCTAGGGTATATAAAGAACTCAAAAAGCTAAACACCAAAAACCCAAATAACACAATCAATAAAGGGCCAGGGACCTGAACAGACACTTCTCAGAAGAGGATATACAATCAATCAACAAATATATGAAAAAATGTTCATCATCTCTAGCAATTAGAGAAATGCAAATCAAAACTACTCTAAGATACCATCTCACTCCAGTCAGAATGGCAGCTATTATGAAGACAAACAACAATAAATGTTGGTAAGGATGTGGGGGAAAAGGCACACTCATACATTGCTGGTAGGACTGCAAATTGGTGCAGCCAACATGGAAAGCAGTATGGAGATTCCTTGGAATCTGGGAATGGAACCACCATTTGACCCAGCTATCCCTCTCCTTGGACTATACCCAAAGGACCTAAAAACAGCATTCTACAGGGACACAGCCACATCAGTGTTTATAGCAGCACAATTCACAATAACTAAACTGTGGAACCAACCTAGATGCCCTTCAGTAGATGAATGGATTAAAAAATGTGGCATATATACACAGTGGAATATTACTCAGCAATAAAAGAGAATAAAATCATGGCATTTGCAGGTAAATGGATGAATGGAGTTGGAGAAGATAATGCTAAGTGAAGTTAGCCAGTCCCAAAAAACAAATGGCGAATGTTTTCTCTGATATAAGGTGACTGACTCATAGTCGGGAAGGGAGCATAGAAGAAATAGACAAACTCTAGATAGGGCCCAAGGAACAGACAAATCACCAGTTGCACGGAACACAAGGTGGGAGGGGAAGGGAGGGGGCAGGGGGTTGCCAATGATGGTGGAATGTGATGGACATCATTATCCAAAATACGTATGTATGAAGACATGTATGAAGACATGAATTGGTGTGAACATACTTTATCTACTGAGATATGAAAAATTACAATAAGAATTGTAATGCATTCCACTGTCATGTATTTAAAAATAAAATCAATAAAAAATATAAAAAAATAAGTAAATGGACAAGTTTATTAGATACAAGGTTAGGAAAAAACCTATTGTATTTCTCAATACCAACAGCTAACAAACAAAAATGTAATATATAATAATACTAACAGAAATCAAATACCTAGAAAAAATATCCAATGATAGATATGCAAGATCTTTACATAAAAATTAGAAAACGCTATTGAGGAAACTTAAATCCCAAATACAAGGAAAGACACAACCCCAGTCAAAATCTGAGGAATGTTGTTGTTTGATTTTGGTTTCGTTTTTTTTGGTAGAAACTGACAAGGTGATCTTGAAATTTATAAGGAAATACGAAGGATCAAAAATAGATGAGGAGACTGTGAAGAGAAATGAAGACAGAAGACTTTCATTATCAGATATCAAGATCTTCTACAAAGTTACGATAATTAAGATGGGTTGGTACTGGCCCAAGGAACAGACAACCAGTTGGCCCAAGGAACAGACAAGTCACCCGTGGCACAGAACATAAGGTCAAGAAAGAGCCACACACAGACACCTGATTCACGACATGAAGCACAGTAGGGAAATGAGGCTGCTGTGGTCTCAATGTTTGTGTTCCCTCAAAATTCATGTGTTGAGATCCTGACCCCTATGGAGATGGCATCAAGGGGTGAGGTTTTTGAGGTAGGCATGGTGGCGCAGGCCTGCAATCCCAGAGACCTAGGAGAATGAGGCAGGAGGATCACATGTTCAAGGCCAGCCTCAGCAACTCAGTGAGGCCCTCAGCAACTTAGTGAGACCCTGTCTCAAAATGAAAAGTAAAAATGGCTGAGGATGTGGCTCAGTGGTAAAGCACCCCTGGGTTCAATCCCTGGTAGTTAAAAAAAAAAAGAATGAAGAAAAGGTGAGGTTTGGGGAAGGTGATCAGACCATGAGGGTAGAGTCTGAGCAAATGGGACTAGTGTCATCATAAATGAAGCCTGATGGAGCTCGCTGGACCCTTCCACCATGTAAAGAGACAGTCAGAAGGGCCTTCTGTGAGCCAGGAAGTGGGCCCTCACCAGACACTGGGTCTGCTGCTCCCTCAATCCTGGATTTCACAGCCTCTGGAACTCTGAAAAATAAATTTCTGTTGTTTATGGTATTATGTCAACTTATGGTTATTTTGTTACAGAACCTCAAATGGGCTTAGACAGATGGTCTTTTCAATAGATTGTCCTAGGTCAATTAGATGCCCACATGGAAAAAAGGATCTCCGCTTCATAACACACACACACACACGTACATACAAACGAAAAATTCCAGGTAAGTTGTGCATCTAAATGAAAAAGGTAAAAACAAAAAAACTTTTAGAGGAAAACATCTTTGTGAGTGGGAGTGTGAGACAATATCTCAAGCAGGACACAAAAGGCACTAACAATTTTTTTTTCCTAGCCTCCTGATAACAATTTTTTAAAATGGAAAAATTGGACTATATAAACTTAAAAATTTCTGGTTATTAAAAGACCCCATGGAAAGGGTAAAAAAAACATACCCATAAAATGAGAGAAGATATCTGATGAAGGACTTGTATCTATAATATATAAAAAGTTCTATAAATCAAAGAGAAAAACACAAACAACCTAGGAGAAGAATGGGGAAAAGATTTGAACAAGTCCTTCCCAAAAGAAGATAATCAAATGCACTTTGAAAGAAGAAAGAAGGTGTCCTACCTCATTATCATTAGGGCCATGCAAATGACAAACACCAGGTACTAACTATTATTGTACACCTGACAGAATGGTTAAAATAAACAAGATACAAAATACTAAGGGCTGCTGAGGATGTGGTGTAGCAATGAACTTCCATAATCTTGCTATCAGGGGTGTAAATCTGTACAACCACTTTGGAAAACCATTCAGTAGCACCTGTCAAATTCGAACACGTGCGTACATCGTGACACAGTAAGTGCACTCCTAGCTCAGCACCCCCACAGAACCGCATACCAACTAGAAGGTTCATAGCAGCACTTTTAGCTGCGCCACAACCAAAACACTAGAAAATATCCAAAGGTCCTTCAAATATAGAATGGCTAATTACATATTCATGTGATGAAATGTTCTACAGAGATGGGAATGATACAGGTCTCATATAAGACAGATGAATCTGGTGAACATAATCACTGAGCAAAAGGACCTTTTGTCCTCTAACGGATACAAAATGTATGATTCTCTGCCCATCTATCAATCATCCATCTATGTATCCATCCATCCATCCACCCATCCGTAGTGCTGGGGATCAAATCCAGGGCCTCACTCATGCTAGTCAAGTGCTCTACCACTGGGCTACATCCCCAGACCAATGACTCATGTATATTATAAAAAAGGCAAAAGCTAGTGAGGACAGTGGCTGTCCTTGGATGAGAGTGGCAACCTTTGGCTGATGGTCACGCTGTCTTGCTCTTGATGCTGGTGATATGGGTGTATTCTGTTAGTACAGATTTATTGAACTGTACCTTTAGGATATATTTGATTCTTTGCATGTATGGAATGAATACATCAGTAAAAAAGTTCCTAAAAGACTCAGTGGTAATGGCTTATTATTATTTTTTGGTACCAGGGATTGAACCCAGGGGCACTTCACCACTGAGCCACATCCCCAGTCCTTTTTATTTTTGAGACAGGGCTTGCTAAGTTGCTGAGGCTGGCCTGGAGATTATAATCCTCCAGCCTCAGCCTCCAGAGTTGCTGGCATTAAAGGGCATGGGCCACCATATCTGGCCCCAGTAGTAGTGAATTATAACCCAGAGAATATTCATGAGTCCGTGCTGGTATAAATAAGCTAAGTTGCTGAGGCTGGCCTTGACAGTACATTAGAGGAAAAACAGACTGGAAAATGGACCTGAAGAAATTATCCAGATTATAGTATAAACAACAAAGAAATGAAATATGGGATTTTTTTTGGTACTGGGGATTGAGCCCAGGGGCACTTTAACACTGAGCTACAGCCCTAGTCCTCTTTATGCTTTATTTTGAGATAGGGTCTCCCTAAGTTGCTGGGGCTAGCCTTGAACTTGTGATCCTCCTGCCTCGGCCTCCTGAGTTGCTGGGATCACAGGGTGTGCACCACCACACCAGGTGAAATACATGAATTAAGAGACACAGAAAGAATGACAAGGTGTGACATACATTTAACTGGAGTCCCAGTAGGAGAGAATGAAAGTGGGGATAAAAAAGATGATGGCTGAGGCTGGGGGTGCAGCTCAGTGGTAGAGTGCTTGCCTGGCATGTGCGAGGCCCTGGGTTCGATCCCCAGCAGCAAAGGAAAAAAAAAAAAAAGGAGAAAAGGAAATGAAAAAAGAAAAAAAAGAGAGATGTTGTCAGACTGGATAAAACAAGAAAATCTAGGCATATGCTGTTTACAAGAGACTTATCTAAAACATAATGATATAGTGAGTTTTAAAGCCAAGAGATGAAAATTGATAATATAAACATGGAACAGAATGAAGGCCCTGGGATCACTCCCAATGGCTACAGTGGCCCCGCGTGTAGTCAGGCCTGAGCCTACCCGAGGCGGCCGCACCCCACCCGGGGGGTCCTCTGGTGCCCCTCACCTGGCTGGTGATGTCTGAAGGCATGGGCGAGGGGGGCTTGGAGTAGGTGGCGTCCTGGGAGATGAAGCCAGAGTCGTGGGAGGAGACGCTGGAGAGGCGGGTGGTGGCGGTGGCTGGCTGCGCCAGGCTGCGGTAGCGACAGGTGGAACTGGGTGAGTATGTTTGGGCACCCCCAGGCCATGGGGCTCCGCCACCCTTGGCACTGCTACTGCTGCTGGGGGCACTGAGGGAGTGAAGGAGGACGGCACAGCAGCCAGACAGGGAGGCGGGGGAGTGTGAGGGGGTGACAGATGAGGGGGAGAGAGATGAAGGCAAAGGAAGGAAAAGAGAATGTCAGACTCTGAGGTCCTGAGACCCAGGTACTACGGAGGAGCTGGGTCCCGGGGTGACGTGGCAGGCAGGGCAAGGCTGGAGCAGGGGGGACCAGGCCCTTGCCCCTGGAGCTCCTCAGTGTCGGAAGCCACGGTCAGGGCATGCCAAGGGCGAGGCGAGCGCTATGCCTCCCCCTCTGCCATTAGAACAGTTGTCCTCAGGTTAATGATGGGGAAACTGAGTCACAAAGCATCGAACAATCAGATGTTTCTAAACTGCCTTCTCTAGGCCTGATGTTGCCGTCCAGTCACAGAGGGCCATCTTGCACGAGGTGGAGTGTCTGGACAGCACATGAGGCTGCCCTCCAGGGAGGGTCTTAAGCCTCCCATCATCTCATCACCTCTCTGCCGGAGGGTGTCCAGCCGGCCATGGCTCATGCCCTCTGCACAGCCACTGGACCCCCAGCAGTGCCCCTGGCAAGGAAGGCTGCCCTGCTCCTGAGCATGACCTTGAAGCACCCCCACCTGGCTCCTGGTCTCCCCTGCCGTCTACCCCTCTTTGGACAGGTGCTCATCCAAGGTCTAAAGAGGTTCCAGCAGCCGGAAGGAGCAGCTGATCACTGGGCCTGGCTTCTCTCAAGCCCTGGGTGCCCGGACAGAGGGGCCTCCCTCAATAATCATCTCTGTGCTCAGTGCCCTGCCCACCCCACTTCAATCATCAGTCTCCTCTAGATCTTGCCCCAGTGCCATCAGGGAAGGGCCCCTGATGCTGAGCCAACCTGGTGTTGAGTGAGATTCTTGGCCCCTCCCTGGCTCTGAGACCCCAGGGCCCAACCTGGGTCAGAGCTTGATCCATTGGCAGCTGCCTGGGCACCAGCTTTAGGAACCAGTCAGGCTGGACCGTTCAACATATGTCCTCAGAAAGCCCTGTCCCCTTCCCTGATCACAGATTCTTACTTCCGCCCCACACTGTCCTAGGCCTGGCAGAGTCCTGTGAGTGGTTAAATGCTAAGACCCCGTGCCTCAGTTTCCCCTTCTATGAAATGGAGACAAGACCAGGCCTGACACAGTGGTGTTAGGATTCAATGAGGAAAATGCTTGGCACCTGGTACACAGTCAATGCCCTGTAAACGAAGCTACTGCCCCTCCCTGCCAACAAACGCCTGGGGCAGCAGTCCTGGGACTACTGGGCACGTTTTCCTCTACACCTGAAAATCCCTTGGATGACGCAGAGGTCATATGAATTCTGAGGCTCTGAAGAATCCCCCTGGCCACCCCACCACCCCACAATTCTGGGGACTGAACTCAGGGCCTCACACCTGCCAGGGACGTGCTCTATCACCAAGCCACGTCTCCAGCCTCTGAAGCAGTTCTTGATGGAGCTTTGGGGGGAGCTTCCACATTCCTTCCTGGGGTACCTCCATGAGTCCCACCCCACCAACCTGCACATGCTGGATTTCCGGGAACTGGAGCTGCTGGGTGACGATGGCGGGGTCTGGTAAGACCAGCTGTAGTCTGAGCCCTTCAGGTCCTTGATCACCTGGGCAGGGACATACATGGGGGTCACTGGAGGCAGACCCTAACCTACAGAGAGGCTCGTCATGCTCCTCAAAGAGCTGGCGGGGCCAGAAGCCTTCTACTCTCTTCCCAGCTGTGGACCATGCTTTAGGAGAAGACCCCAAGAAGCTAACCCTCCCATCCCCCAGCCTTCTCCCAATGCACGATTCTTACTGGGGTGGGAAGCAGAGAGATATGGGAACATTCAGCTCTCTCTGCACCCCTTCAGCTTACACAGCACAGATTTGGGACTCTGGGTGGGGACATGGGAGAAGCAGGTGCTCCCAAGAACTGGCAGAGGAACCGGGCTAGACTGCCCAGGATAACAGGGGATAGGATAACAGGGGATAGGATAACAGGGGATAGGATAACAGGGGATAGGATAACACGGGATAGGATAACAGGGGTGCAAATCATGGTTGGATCCGAGTCTCCACTTTCTCCATGAATTGGGGCCACTGTTCCTGTCTTAGAGCACCATCAAGAGCGCTAAGGAAACAACCTGTAGAGGGTGTTTATCAGAGTGTTGGGCACACAGGATGTGCCTGGGGAGGGCAGTGGGAGCGGGGGGGACAGGGTGGACACATATGCCTGGGTCTAGGGGAGGTGACTGGTGTTCTCTGTGTGGATGGCAGCCAAGCATCAGCAGGTTGGAAAGGGCCAAGCTCCAGGGATCTGAGATTTTTCCCACCTGCTCTCAGTCTGAGACCCCCCACTACTTGGGACCTAAGCATATCACCTGGGCAGGTGCTACTGGATGCCCCCTGGTGGCTGCTGGAAGTTCTCTGGTCTTTTCCCAGATGCCTTCCCCAAATGCTGTCTCCTTTTCTCAACTGTCTCCAATGGAGGGCACGGCCGTTTCCTCCCTGTCCCTGTCCCTGTCCCTGGGCCCCAGGGCTCACCGCACCTGCTCACTGGCGGGAGGCAGCTTGTGGGGTTCTGCAGTCAACACCACCAGGTCGTCAATGATGCCCTGCAGGTGGGTGATCTCCCCCAGCATGGTCAGCTCGCCGTTCTGAGGACGCAGTGATAAGACCTGATGGTCCCACCGCCCTCCAGCCCACCCTGGAGAAACAGGCCTTTTCGGCCTCTCCTGTCTCACCCTTCCCTGCTAACCAGTCCGTTTGGGACTGGTGGAGGCTGGGCCAGCACAGTCTGGGTGGCTGACATGACCATCTGTCCAGACCAAATCAGGACACGAAGAGCCACGAGACCTGCTTCTGGTCCAGGAGCATGTGGCTCTAAATGTATTCTGCCAGGGATCACTTAGAAGTGATCTAGGAGGTCAACAAGTCCACCCTGGGTCCCACCCACCCACCCCACTGGCCTCTGAGTCACCATGAGACCCACCACCACGGGCTGCAGGAAAGTGATGAAGGTGCAGAAGCGGCCTCGCTCCTCGATCAGGGCCCGGCGCACTGCCTGCTTCTCCGTCTCCTCCAGCAGGAGGTACATGTCATTGACGTCCTGCAGGGCACTATCCAGCTGGGGCTGCAGGTCTCCTTTCCCTGGAGGGGTTGGGAGGAGAGGCCGCGCTGGGGACGCTGGCCTGGTTTGCTGCACCCATGGCTTAGGCCCCTGGGGTGGCATCCCTGGCCGTGGAGCTGGGCACTACAAGGGGAGTGGGGAGGGCAGACTGTGGGGTTCGTGGAAGGGATGGTCCCCCCAGAGCAGGCAGAGAGGACAGGCAGATACACACGCACAGGAAAGACACCAAAGCTGCAAAGCCACCCAGGACCCAGGTAGGCAGGGCTGACCATATGGAGGCCAGTGGGGGCCTTCACTGCATGGGATCCCCTCACTGCCTGGGCAGGGCACCCCATCACCACACAGGATACAGGCAGGTGGTGTGGAGCAGGACAAAGGAGACCCGGGTAGGGGGCTCAGCTGTAGGCCAAGCCACCCAAGGTGCCAGGATCAGGAGACCTAGGGGCTGGACCTGGGGAGCAGGGAGAGGGGTGTCTCAGGGTGGGCCCCCACTCAGATCAGAAAACAATACACAAGGACAGCGACGGTGACACAAAAAGCAGCAAGAGAGACAGAGAGAGGCGAGAGGATGATATGGAGGAGACGTTGAGACAGGAAGCAGGGAGGCAACAGGTAAGAACAGGGCTGGCCTGGTGGGGCCGGGGCAGCCAGGGCCTATGCCCCCCACCCCGCCCCACCAGCCAACCCCTCCTGGCCTGGCAGACTGACCCAGCAGTGGCCCTGGACTCATCCCTGGCCAGGGGCCCCAGGGCCCCAGGGGGACTGTGCCCCAGGCCCCTCCCTCGGTGGACCGACCGCCTTCCTCGCTCCTCCTTGGCCTGAAGAGGTTCCTTCCAATGGCCCTGAGCTGGGGGAGACAGACAAATGCGACAAGGACGGGAGGAGCAGCTGGAGGGACCGACATTTGACTTACCAAGTAGCTCTACAGGAAGGATGTGGGAGGAGGAAGAGGAGAGACAGAGAAAGAAAGAATGTGTGAAAGACAGCCGGATGGACAGAGCCACTCCTGGGGTGGGGTGGGGGCCTGGGCCTGTGGGGCCTCTTACTTTCTCCCAAGAGGGAGGGCCTGGGCCTGTCTGGTGCACAGGGCAGCTCCCTCTGTCCCACCCGACAGGTTGGAGGGTCCTGTGTCAGGGATAGGACCCCTCTGGCCAGGATGACGCCCTGGGGTGCCCCATAGGGCAGTGGGGCTATGGAGTGGGACCTAGGGGCTGGGCCTCCGCAGCTGACTCTAGGTCCTACCTTTTCGCGCTTTCTTCTGCAGCTTCAGCGTGTCTGATGACTTCTTCTTGATCTCGTGCCGGGCTCGTTTGTACTCTGAGGAGGCAGGGTGAGATGGGAGGCTATAATAGGGATCCCTGCGGAGAGGGTGTGGGCACCCCCACAAAGCCCCACCCCACCTTTCGCGTGGTCCTTGTCCAGTTGGTTGGCCGACTTCTTCCAGTCCTCGATGCGCTCCTGCAGCGGGTTGATCAGGCTCTCCAGCAGCGCACTGTGGGTGGGAGCTGGGGGTCAGGATCACAGGGAGCAGGGTCTCCCGCGGACCAAACGCCTTAGCCCTGCCCGCCGCGCCCACTCACTTGGTGAACTGTCGCAGCTTGGTCTCTATGCTGCGGTGGCGCATGCACATGCGTGTGAGCGCCGAGCCGATGTCCCGTGTGGCCCCTGGCGAGACAAGCGCGGCGTGGGAAGGGGCCCACTTGGGTCTTTGCAATGCCGGCCTGGGGCCACAAGGGGGCGCGCCGGCCCGCGAAGGCCAGGCCTGCCGCCTGCGCCCCGCCCTCGCGCTCTGATCCGTGGAGTGGGGTAGGGAGCGGGTGCTGGGCGTTGACCCAGCTCCTCCTCAGGCCAGGACCCCGGTCCCGGATGCTGGCCATCCCAGCCTCGGACAGCTGCAGGTACTCTGCTGCCAAGGCCAGGGACCTCCCCTCTCATCGAGCTGAGGGAGGCCAGTGCCAGACAGCCCAAGGAGGAGTCAGTGAAATTCTCCAGCCCCCGGGGAGCCCGTCCAGGTGTGGAGTGAAGTGACAGAGGAGGGCACACGCCGGGCCTATGTTCTCAGTGCTGAAAGGAACAGGAGCCGAGGTGCTTGCTCTAGACCAGGACCCCAGGGAGTGCTCACGTGCCCCGTAAGCGCACCGAAGGGCGCTGGGAATAGGCGAGAAGCCAGAGACGCTCTGTGCAGAAGGGCAAATGGCTGGCAGAGGGGTCAACTGAGCTGCCCACAGCAAGAAGGGATCCCCTGGAACATCCCTGTTGCCACTCACCCACTCCTGCTTGTGCCTCTTGTGGCAAGGGGCTCAGTCTCTCCACAACCAGCCCATTCCGTGAGGGAGCAAAACCTCAGCTCCGGGCCTTGTGTCATTTCCTTCGGGCTTTCCCACCCCAAGCCCACCCTGGGGCATCCCTGACCTCCAGCCATGATCCTTCCCACCTCGAGTGTTGGTGGCCATGTCGGCCACTTTCTGGAAGGCGTCCAGGAAGGCCACAGCAGCCAGCACGGTGGTCCTGGGGAGACGGACAGTGAGATGGAAGGTCAGCGGGGGTCTTCCGTCCATCCCTCCCTAGCTAGAGCACCGCAGGCAGCCTCACCTCAGCTGGGAATGCAGCTTCGTGGCCTTGGAGTTGAAGTCCTCCCAGATGGGGTAGGAGCTCTGTGAGAGAGGTGGGAGAGGACATGAGACCCTGTGGGAGGGGGCTGTAGGGCTCAGCCTGGTCTGGATCCCCCATATGCTACCCAGACTTGTCCCTTTCTTGAGAGCAGCTTTGCCCCTGAGCAGAGCAGGCTCCCGCCCTCTGGGAGGAGACAGGGCTGAGGACAGGGCAGCAGGCATGAGAAGGGCTTGCCCCTGGGAACCAGTGCCTTGGCTCTTCCTTCCCACCCTGTTCCTACTGTGTAGAGTTGGCAACTCTGCGGTTCCCACTCTCCATCCATGGAGGTGGAGGCAGTAGATGGCAGATCCTGTCTCCTCTGGGCTCCTCAGGGGCCTGGCAGGGATCTCAGCTGAGTCCCAATAGGGACCCATGTTCCCTGGGCCTGGGATGGTGGGCCCTGACCTGCCGCCTGGCTTAGGGCTGGGGCAGTGTCGGGTGGGGAGGCTGGCAGGGTCAAGGCATTCCAGGTATAGCGAGGCCCTGGGAGCTGCTGCTGGCAGGACACACTAGGCCAGCAGTAGTGGCTCCTGGGCTTCTGAGGAGGCTGTGGCTGCTCAGGGCCTGGACAGTCTGCCCAGGACAACCAGGCCCCAGGCTGAATGGGGCCTTGTGCGGCCAACAGAGCCACCTTTTTCCACCCCCCGCTCCCCTCCCCTCCAGGGGAAACAGTGTGGCCTTTATCCCGGCCTGGCCCATGGCTCCATGTTGGGAGGGGGTTTCCCAGTAGGGAGGTCGAGCTCCTGGCGACCGACTTGTCCAGTCTGATTAAGGGGCTTTTCTGGCTAATGTGCTCTCCCCATGGCTGCAGGCCTTGAGAAAGCTCAGCCTTGGCTTCAGGGCCCTGTGGAGGCCTTGCTTTTTGAAGGACAGCCCTGGGGGTTCAGGCTTTGCCCTAGGAAAGGAGGGGAAACAGAGACCCCAGTCCCCCAAGGCCCTAGAGAAGGCTCTCCTTGGCTGTAGCCCCAGGACAGGTTCTAGCTGGCCTCCCCAGGCCAGAAGTACCCACAGGGGGTAGAAAGGAGCTGAGAGGCATCAGGGAACCTCAGAAACCCCCTCCTTCCCAGCCCAGCCAAACCAGTGACCAGGGAAAGCAAATATTTACGAAGTACACTGAGGCTGGGACAAGAGACAGGGGATGTGGGTTGGCTGTCCCCATACAGCTCAGGGAAAAGGAGCCTGGGAGGTTTTCCCTAGCAGTCCCAAGGAGCTGACCCATGCCTTGGGGTCTTTTGAAAGGCATACCTTCCTACCACCTTCACCCCACCCAGCCTGGATATCCTTGAAGACCTCCCTGCTGGGGTGCAGGTGGTCCACAGCCAGCTGTTCTGCCCCCCTCCTCCCTGATCACCTTCTCAGCTCTCTCAGCAGTCCGTGGGTAGTCTCAGAGAGAGGGCTGTCCCAGGGGAGGGGGACAGGACAGGGCATGGGGGAGGCAGGCCTAGTTTCTCCTCAGCAGATGGACCCAGGTACTTCAGTCCTCAAGGGCTTAGCATTCTCTCCCCTCCCCCACTCATGGTTCCCGAATGAGCCCAGAGACTAGGAGGAAGGGCCGGAGTGGCCAGTGCCCCAGGCTTTACCTGGCCCAGGCCCTGCCTGTCAGGTTCTGAGACCCTGGTTTATCTTCCCTGGTCACAGTAACTGCACTGTGTTCTATGCAGGGCCTGGCTGGCACTTGCAAAGTGTGCGTCGGTCTTCACAGCAGCCCTGCGAGAAGATTCCTACTATTTCCCCTTTTAGTGATGAGGAAACAAGGTGAAGTGATTTTTCCAAAGCCACAGGGTGTGGCATCAGAGTCTGATCCCATGTCTGACAGGCGAATGACTGCATGTCAGGGTAGAGGGATCCTGCTTCAGGAGTGCAGGGACGTGAGCACCTGAGCTCCAGGGACTGAAAGGATGGGGGAAACCCCCAGCTCTGCCCCACTCATCTGGGCTGCTCCAGAGTGAGGAGGTGAGGTGCCCAAGGGGACAGGATGAGTCTGAGGAGCAGACGGCTGTGGCTGCATGAGAGGAAGCAACCTAGGCTTCAGCCCCAGAGGTTTTCCAGGTGACCTTGGGGCAATCTGAGTCTGTTTGCCCACCAGTAAAATCAGGAGAGGGACTTGCACCTCCCTGGGGTCAGTGTGTAGACTCCAGGGGGTACTCACTGAAGGGACTGCTTGGAAAGGGTCTGGGCAGCTAGCAAGGGCTCATCACTGTTGGCCAGGAGCACATAAGCCCTGTCTCTGCTAGGAGAGCCCTCCCACCTGCCCAGGGTCTGTGTGTCCGGATGACACTCTACTCTGGATAGGGAGGCAATGATTACGACCCCATTATCTGAACAGACCAATGTGAGGTGGTGGCCCCATTTGCTCTCTGAGGGTGCTGTGCCCGGGCCTAACACCCCAAATAAGTTCTTGCCCCTCTCTGGATTCAGTGGGCTTGTGGCCTGAGCTGTGTGAGACAGGGAAGGCAGGGCAAGCTCCTGAAGACTCTTCCCCCCCTGAGCTCAGACCTTCCTCCAGCTCTCTAGGCTCCCTGCTATTGCCTTTAGCCACGGGTCCAGCCTCCTAGTGGTTTGAGGGAGATCTGCTGTGGGCTCACTGGGGGGCAGCTCCAAGGGGCAAGATTTCTCCCAGACCCAGCAAGTCAGTAGGCTTGGAGTCAGTCAGAAGCTGCCCCCCAAATCTAGTTATCAGCCTCCAGATGGCCCAGCCCCCTCCTCTGTCCCTGGCCAGGGTCCTTGAACACATTCATGTGTCATGGCTAGGGGCAAATCTTTTCATGGTGTCACCACAGTTGGTGAAACCTCTCCCTTTTGACTCCACATATCTGCAAATCCTGCCACCAGCCAGTCTGAACCTCTTGCTGCGATCTGGGCCCATTACCTTTGGTGTCATCTCTAACTTCCTTGCAATTGGCCAAGAGGGAGGGACACAGTCCTGCTCCTCTCCTCTGGGCTAAAGCTGCTGCTTGCTGCAGTGTTTGCTGTGTGGCTGCCAGTGGGAGGAGGTGAAGGCAGCTCCCACCCTCAACCAGCCCCAGAAGCGGCCAGGGGAAGTGGTCTAGGCTGCCCAGTCCCAGGAAAGGGCCTTCGTGCCAGGGCTCTGATGTCTGCAGGGTGGGTGGAGGCTGCTCAGGGCCAGCAGAGAGGCCCACAGGTGGAGCTGCCAGGGATGGAGGTCCCAGGGGGGAAAGCACTATGGTGGCCGGGGGTGGGGGAGGCGGGGGGAGACATGGACATGCTGCTAATTGCGCAGTCCCAGGCCAGAGTGGCTTCAGTCCCCATCCTAGGGGACAGAGATCTGGCAGCTGCCTCTGGGGCTGTTTCCCTGGCAGCACAGGAAAGGAGTCCCAACCTTTTGCCTGCCTATCACCCTCTACTTCCCAAAGCGCCTGCCTGGAACTCTTGGGTAGGTTGCATGTGGTTTGTGGTGTCCCCACCATTCCCCAGGCTGGGGCCTGGTAGGACTTTGTGTTGTGTACTAGGCCAGTGTGTGTGGGGCTGTGAAGGGGCCCTCGGGAGCGCCTGTGGGGAGCCAGGTTCTTCCTCCTGCCTGCAATCCTGCCTCTTCATCCTAGACCATGGGGACAGAGGAGAAGGGCAGGAACGCTGTTTCTTGGCCCACCCTGTCACTGGAGCTGGGCCCTCTGCCTACTCAGTCTGGGGCAGTCCTATTATACTTTGGCCTCTTTCCGGGACAGGATCCCTCCTACCCCTCTCAGATAAACAATGAAGGCTGAGATCAGGGGCAGGGTTAATGACCTTGAGCCATTGCCAGGCCTCAGTTTCCCCACTTGGTGGGCTGAGCAAGAATTAGTGACCTGCTCCAGCCTGACCTTGGGTAATCACGGGGAGTGGGAGGTTGGCGCTGAGTGGTAGTGGGGTAGGAAAAGCGCTCCCTTGGGGTTGCTCCACCAACCCCAATCTTCTCCCCTCCTCCTCTCAAAGTGATGATAAAGGCCTATCCTTGGGATGCAGGGACATTCAGCTCGGAGACCTGGAGTCCTGGGGCTCGCTGGGGTTGCTGATGGGGGGCGGGGCTGGGGCGGCAGTAGCAGGGTCGGGCCTCTGGCGGGGAAGGAGTTAAGGATTCTTTGCTTTATTATTTTTCCTGCTTGGGCTGTGACAGCATTGTCTGGGCTCCGGGGCCGTCGGGATGGGGGGACATTGTGCTGGAAGGGGGCGGAGGCCGGCAAGACCCTGGACTGGTTAAAGGGCCAAAGAGTCAGTCCTCTAGCTAAACCCCAATCATGGTTGGGGGTCTGAGGCACAGAGAGCCCGCGTGTGCGCAGGCTCGGGTCGCGACGGCGCAGGGAGACCCGGGGCGCTGCACGGATCCCCCAATACTTGAGCACCCACACTCCCGCAGACAGGCACCTGGAGACCCGGGCGCAAGGCAGATGCAGGCAGGGCACTCTCAGACAAGGACACAGACCCCACCGCGCACGGTCACAGCAGGGCACGGCTGCCCGCCGCCACGCGTCCCCAGAGGGGACCCGCACCCGCGCGCCCACCCGGGTGGCCGGCCCCGCCGCGTCCCGATTACCTTCATGTCGTTGACGATGGCCTGGAAGAGCCCGCCCAGGGCGCCGCACTCCTTCTCCGCGGTCTCCATGCTCGGGCCGGGCGGGCCGCGGCGGCGGGGCGCGCAGGGGCTCGGGGAGCCGCGCAGGGGAGGGGGCCGGGCCGCGGCGGGCGCTCGCTCCGAGGCCGCGCCGGGCCTCCGCCTCCGG